TTTTTTTTTTTTTTTTAAGAATTAGGATCTTGTTCTGTCTACCAGGGTAGAGTATGGTGATCATAGCTCACTGCAGCCTCAAAATCCTGGGCACAAGCAATCAACTGCCTCTGCCTCTTGAGTAGCTGAGACTATAGGTGTGTGCCACCATACCTGACTAATTTTAAAAATTTTTGTGGAGACGGAATGTTGCTGTGTTGCCCAGGCCGATCTTGAACTCTTGGCCTCTAGTGATTGATCCTCCCATCTGAGCCTCCCATTGTGCTCTGATTATGTGAGCCACCATATCCTGCCGGGATACAGTCCTTGAATGGACATAATTAAAGAGACGTTTTTTTTGTGGCTCTCCCTTGTCAACTGCAGAGCTACAGTTGATTTTTAAAAAATGCCGTTTGGTTTTTGGAGCTAAAAGTATTCTTTGTCAGAAAGTATGTGTTGTCAAATTACTTTTCAAAAAGCTAATGATAATGAGCACTCTTATTATAGTCCTACATTGTGGGACTAATCTTCCTGCATTTTTGACACCATTTATATTATTATTTGCAGTATTTTTCTATATGACGTATGAGATACAGACTTCCATTCTTTGTACTGCTCACTTACACGTGTGTTTGAACATTTTTCTTCAGCTAATTATAGTTCATTTACATTCTAAAAAATTAATCTCATTCAGTGGAATTGAAATCATTTTAAGGGGAGCTTAAATTTGTTAGGAATTATAAGTTGTACCAGAAGCTTACAATTTACTGCAAGTAATGCCCCTTTTTATTTATTTTGGTACTTTAATAGTCTTATCGCAGAAGTTCTTCAGTGTTTGCTGGAAAGCAGGGCTTTATCACCCTTCGTGATCTGTTTCGATGGGCTGAAAGATACAGATTGGCCGAGCAGACCGAAAAGGAATATGACTGGCTACAGCATTTAGCCAATGACGGTATGTTTTTAATCAAATGCTCTCACAGTATAAAGTTATGTCCTATGTCTAGCTTTTTTGTTAAAACAAAACTTGCCTCAAATAGTGCTTGATATGTACATTCGACTAGGTATTGCAGAAAGCCTGTCTTCCTCCAGTCCTAACTGCTTTTTTAAGTGATCCTATTCCTGCAGGTCTCTATTCCTATAAGGATTGGTTGCTGAGGTTTTCTTAATCTTTGCTTTAGGTGGCTACATGTGGGAGTTAGGGTATGGGTTTAGGCAGGTGGTTGGTGGCAGCTTTGTGGGCCATTTATCTGCAGTGTGGTCACCACAGTCTGGCTTGTGCCTGAGAGACATACAGAAAGCTGATGTGTCAGAAAATATTGGAGTTCTAAGAAAAGGCAGTTTTATGCCATCTGAGATTCATATTTGGTCTTTTTGGTTTAATCCACGGGAAGAATTGGTTATTCTTCATGATAGGATAAAAAGCATATTAGAATCTTCAGATTTGAAAAGTGCTGATGACTCATTAATGGGCTAGTTAATGAGACTAAAACTAGCGAAGGAGAGTTTTCTCTTCTCGTAAAGAATAGAGGAGTACATATTTTAAGAACTTTTAAATTGAGATGTAACGTACAGTAAAATGTATTTACCCATGTAAATCACCACCTAGAGCAAGATTTAGAATATTTCCAACATCTCAGAAGGTTCCTTCATGCCTCTTGCCAGTGGAGGTAACCACTTCACTACTCTGACTTCTGTAACCACCCATTGATTTTGCCTGTGCTTGAGTTGCAGCTAAATGGGGACTATGTAGTGTGTACTCTTTTGGTTCTGGCTTTTTCACTCAACCAGATGTGAGATTCAGCCATGCTGTTCTGTGTATTAGGACTTCGTCCTTTTTTTTTTTTTTTTTTGGTAATCCGTTGTACGGAGATAATATATTTTGTTTATCTATTCTCTCATTGTGGATAATTAGATCATTTCCATTTTTTAGCTGTTATGAATAAAGCAACTCTGAACATTCCCGTATATGTCTTTTTGTGCACAAATGTGTTCATTTGTGTTTAGGGATACCTAGAGGTCATATTGCTGGGGCATAGGGCGGGCGTATGGTTGATTGTAATAGACTCTCCCAGTTTTCCAAAGTAGTTCTTTAGATTTCCATTCCACCAGCATCATATGAAAGGTGCTATTCTCAACATTCCTTGCACTAGACCCTTGATGATTTCTCTTTTTCTCCCCCCCCTTTTCTCCGCTCCCCAGGTTTTATGCTCCTGGCAGGTCGAGTCAGGAAACAAGAGGAGGTTGATGTGATACAAGAAGTCCTTGAGAAACATTTCAAGAAAAAATTGTGTCCTCAGTCTCTTTTCTCCAAAGAAAATGTCCTAAAATTGCTGGGTGAGTAGGTTAAACACCCCGGAGGAGTATGAATTGCATTGTACTCATTAGAACCTAAATATCTGCTCTGTCTTGGATAGGTAAATTGTCTACTGAGATATCCACACTAGAGTCTAAATTCACCCACATCGTGTGGACGGAGAGCATGCGGAGACTGGCAGTGCTTGTGGGAAGGGCGTTGGAATTTGGTGAACCAGTGCTGCTGGTTGGAGACACTGGGTAAAATTCTCTTTTTTTTTTCTTCTTTTTTTCTTTATTTTTAACTCTCCCCTATTCAGCAGTTTTTCACGGGCCTGTGCCAGTAGGCAAGACCTCAAGCCAGCGGATCTCCCCTGGCTGTCATGTGGGCCAGGAGGTTCCCTGCCCAGGATTGTGCCACTGGGTAAAATGCTGTGACAATAACTTGTCGTGAGGGTTCATTTCAGTTCCATAGGATTATCTGAATTATCTCTGAAGGACTCATGAAAGTATTTCGTGATCTTCTCCCCTCTCCTTTCTTTTCTCTCTTCCTTCCTCTTTCCCATTTTCTTTTTATTTTAAAGAAGCAAGAGAAAGATCTACCATTGTTTACTTTCTTCTACCTTCTGACTAGCTTCTTTGTGGACAAGAATGATTTCTTGCATCATTATTATTGGGGGCTGTTTTTGTCTGTTTAACTTTTTTTTTTTTGAGACAGAGTCTCACTGTGTTGCCTGGGCTAGAGTGCCGTGGCGTCATCCTAGCTCACAGCAACCTCAAACTCCTGGACTCAAGCGATCCTACTGCCTCAGCCTCCGAGGTAGCTGGGACTACAGGCATGCGCCACCATGCCCGGCTAATTTTTTCTATATATTTTTAGCTGTCCAATTAATTTCTTTCTATTTTTTGGTAGAGACGGGGTCTCGCTCTTGCTCAGGCTGGTCTCGAACTCCTGAGCTCAAACGATCCGCCCGCCTTGGCCTCCCAGAATGCTAGGATTACAGGCGTGAGCCACAACTCCTGGCCACTGTTCCCCGTTTGTTGATGGGGGTACTTATGAGTGTGTATTTGGAACACATGCCTTGATAATCTGTTTTGTGTCTCTAACAGGTGTGGGAAAACTACTGTCTGTCAGTTGTTTGCAGCCTTGGCAAATCAGAAATTATACTCAGTCAACTGCCACTTACACATGGAGACATCAGACTTCCTGGGTGGGCTGCGGCCAGTGAGACAGAAGCCAAAGGACAAGGTTTGTCCAGTCATTGGTCTACAGATTCCGTCCCCTGTTCTCAGACCCTTACTTCCCCCGTAGAATGACTATTTCACTATAGTAGGCACCAGCCAACTACACGTTTTATCTTGTGGAGCCGAGTGCCCTTTAATTCCCCTGACTTCTTTTCCAAATTGTAGGAAGAAATGGACACATCAAGGCTTTTTGAATGGCATGATGGGCCTCTTGTTCTGGCCATGAAGGAGGATGGCTTTTTCCTCTTGGATGAGATCTCACTGGCTGATGACTCTGTCCTTGAAAGACTCAACAGGTACATGCCTGAGAGGTTTGCCCTGTGTTTGATGTTATCGTTGGTGTGATTTTTGTAAATATTAAATCCTGTGCACAATAATGCTCCTCATAGGTGCACAGTAGATGTTTGAAAAAGTTGATGAGTTACCGCTTTTTTCGGCTTCAGAACTCAGGGTCTCCTTTAAGAGACCGAGTTTTTTTGTTTCTACTGTCAATAACCAGAAAGGTGGGACTGTGAGATGGCAATGCTGAAACAAATGAACCTAAACTAAAATTCTTTTCTAAGGTAAATTATATGCCTACTCTGTAATTTTTAAAAAGAACTGGAATCAGAATCCTAGATCTTATGGCCATAAAGCTTCTCAAAACCTTAGAGCAATATAGTCTTGATATATAGTAATACCCATTTTTTCCCTCTGTATTGCGGTATAGTATACGTATCATAAAATGTACAGTTCAATGAGTTTTAATAAATTTACTGAGTTTGCAACCATCACAGTCCAGTTTTACAACATTTGCATCATTCAGTAAGATCCCTCATGTCCTACTTAATTTCTGGGTTCGCCCCCTGCTCCTGGCAAACACTAGTCTACTTTCTGCCTCTATAGATTAATTTTCTGGATAGTTCATATAAATGGTCTCTTCTCTCACTTTGCATAAATGTTTTGAGATTTATCCATATTGCAGCACACATCATTAGTTTGTTCCTTTTTATTCCTAATTGGATATATCACATTTTGTTTATCTGTTCACACATTGATGGTATGTGGACTTCTACCACTTTTTGGCTATTATGAATAGTGCTCCCATGAACACTTGCATGGAAGATACCCATTTTTTTTTTTTTACTATGCCCAGCCAAGATACCATTTTAAGACAAATGCCTTAATAGGGCATAAGTGGGAAAATGAGTTCCTTTTCTCTTTTTTTTTTTTTGAGACAGAGTCTCACTCTTTTTTCCCGGGCTAGAGTGCTGTGGTGTTGGCCTAGCTCACAGCAGCCTCAAACTCCTGGGCTCAAGCGATCCTCCTGCCTCAGCCTCCCGAGTAGCTGGGACTACAGGTATGCGCCACCATGCCTGGCTAATTTTTTCTATATGTTTTTAGTTGTCCAGCCAATTTCTTTCTATTTTTTTTAGTAGAGACGGGGTCTCGCTCTTGCTCAGGCTGGTCTCGAACTCCTGAGCTC